TTTATTTTTATTATCACACTGGCCGATTCCCACCAAGGCAGGGTGGCCCGAAAAAGAAAAACTTGAACCATCATTCACTCCATCACTGTCTTGCCAGAAGGGTGCTTTACACTACAGTTTTTAAACTGCAACATTAACACCCCTCCTTCAGAGTGCAGGCACTGTACTTCCCATCTCCAGGACTCAAGTCCGGCCTGCCGGTTTCCCTGAATCCCTTCATAAATATTACTTTGCTCACACTCCAACAGCACGTCAAGTATTAAAAACCATTTGTCTCCATTCACTCCTATCAAACACGCTCATGCATGCCTCCTGGAAGTCCAAGCCCCTCGCACACAAAACCTCCTTTACCCCCTCCCTCCAACCTTTCCTAGGCCGACCCCTACCCCGCCTTCCTTCCACTACAGACTGATACACTCTTGAAGTCATTCTGTTTCGCTCCATTCTCTCTACATGTCCGAACCACCTCAACAACCCTTCCTCAGACCTCTGGACAACAGTTTTGGTAATCCCGCACCTCCTCCTAACTTCCAAACTACGAATTCTCTGCATTATATTCACACCACACATTGCCCTCAGACATGACATCTCCACTGCCTCCAGCCTTCTCCTCGCTGCAACATTCATCACCCACGCTTCACACCCATATAAGAGCGTTGGTAAAACTATACTCTCATACATTCCCCTCTTTGCCTCCAAGGACAAAGTTCTTTGTCTCCACAGACTCCTAAGTGCACCACTCACTCTTTTTCCTCATCAATTCTATGATTCACCTCATCTTTCATAGACCCATCCGCTGACACGTCCACTCCCAAATATCTGAATACGTTCACCTCCTCCATACTCTCTCCCTCCAATCTGATATTCAATCTTTCATCACCTAATCTTTTTGTTATCCTCATAACCTTACTCTTTCCTGTATTCACCTTTAATTTTCTTCTTTTGCAACCCCTACCAAATTCATCCACCAATCTCTGCAACTTCTCTTCAGAATCTCCCAAGAGCACAGTGTCATCAGCAAAGAGCAGCTGTGACAACTCCCACTTTGTGTGTGATTCTTTATCTTTTAACTCCACGCCTTTTGCCAAGACCCTCGCATTTACTTCTCTTACCCCCCCTCTATAAATATATTAAAAAAACCCGGTACATCACACACCTTTGTCAAGGCCTACTTTACTAAAAAAAATTTTCCCTCTTCCTAATACTCTAATTGAGCCTCACTATCCTGTAAAAACTCTTCACTGCTTTCAGTAACCCTCCTCCTCACCTAACTTGCAACATCTGCCACATTCCCCCCCTATCCACCTGTATACCCCTTTTTCCCAAATCCATAAATCCCACAAAGACCCTTTAGCCTTATCAAATACTGTTCATTATATGTTTCACGTAAACCCCCGGGTCCACAACCCCCTACCTTTTTCCAAAAACCCTCCTTGTTATCTGCTTTCCTATTCCCGTCTTATCTTAATTCTTTAAATTTAACTCTACCATACATTTTACCAGGTACACTCAACAGACTTACCCCCCTAAAATTTTTCCCCCTCCTTTTATCCCCTTTGCTTTTACAAAGGCCTAGCATGCTCTCTGCCAACCCCTGGTCCCTTCCCTTTCCATAATTTTTAAATAATTGCCCCAAACCACTCCAAAACTATACCCCACCGCTTTTAACATTTCTATCTTTTTCCCATAAACCCCGGGCCCCTTACCCCCTTTCTTTTTTGCCTACTGCTCCGAACTTCCCCCACACTCAAAACGGGCTCTTCTCACTCTACAAGTGTTATTCCTCCTTGCCCTATCACGAAATCCAAAACTTCCCCATCTTCTAAATTTAACAATCTTAAAATTTTCCCTCCATCTTCCCAAACCTCTAATCCCATTTAATAACTCTCCCCTCCTATTTTTAACGACAAATCCCTTTTTTTTTCTAGGGTTTCTTAAAATTGTTAATCTCACTCCAAAACTTTTCTTATTTTCAACAAAATTTGTTGAAAAACATCTCACCCACTCTCTCATTTGCTCTCTTTTTACATTGCTTCACCACTCTCTTAACCTCTCTCTTTTTCTCCATATACTCTTCCCTCCTTGAAAATCACTTCTACTTTGTAAAAAACTTCTCAAATGCTAACTTTTTCTCCCTTACTACTCTCTTTACATCATCTTCCACCAATCGCTCCTCTTCCCTCCTGCACCCACTTTCCTGTAACCACAAACTTCTGCTGAACACTCTAACACTACATTTTTAATCCTACCCCATACCTCTTCGACCCCATTGCCTATGCTCTCATTTGCCCATCTATCCTCCAATAGCTGTTTATATTTTACCCTAACTGCCTCCTCTTTAGTTTATAAACCTTCACCTCTCTCTTCCCTGATGCTTCTATTCTCCTTGTATCCCATCTACCTTTTACTCTCAGTGTAGCTACAACTAGAAAGTGATCTGATATATCTGTGGCCCCTCTATAAACATGTACATCCTGAAGTCTACTCAGCAGTTTTTTATCTACCAATACATTAATCCAACAAACTACTGTCATTTCGCCCTACATCATATCTTGTATACTTATTTATCCTCTTTTTTCTTAAAATATGTATTACCTATAACTAAACCCCTTTCTACACAAAGTTCAATCAAAGGGCTCCCTTATCATTTACACCTGGCACCCCAAACTTACCTACCACACCCTCTCTAAAAGTTTCTCCTACTTTAGCATTCAGGTCCCCTACCACAATTACTCTCTCACTTGGTTCAAAGGCTCCTATACATTCACTTAACATCTCCCAAAATCTCTCTCTCTCCTCTGCATTCCTCTCTTCTCCAGGTGCATACACGCTTATTATGACCCACTTCTCGCATCCAACCTTTACTTTAATCCACATAATTCTTGAATTTACACATTCATATTCTCTTTTCTCCTTCCATAACTGATCATTTAACATTACTGCTACCCCATGTAATATGTTAATATTAATGTGTTAATATGCTAACTAAAAAAAAGACCACAGACCATTGATCAGGTTGGGAAGTTGTTGCTGGTGTGGATCAAGGATAAATAGATGGCAGGTGATAGTGTTTCACAGACGATTATTTGTGAAAAGGCAAGGAAGTTGCATGCCGATTCGAAGATTAAGGAGATTTGCGCCAAGTGGAATGATGTCCAAATGTTTGTGGAGAAGTACCACCCTGAGCAAGCTGAAACAAGCCATCTTTGCAACAAGTTCAGTGACAGAACCATGCCCCATTTTAGAGAAATCTTGAAGAGGTGCTAGAAACAGAGGACTGTGGACAGTTATTTTGCAAGACGGGTCCAGCGACTCTGAAGCTGGTCCTAGTGGCATTAAAAGACAGAGAAGGGAAGTAACCCAAGAGAGGGCTTTGATACCTAAAGTCCTTATGGAGGGGGATTTCCCCTCCAAACACTAGCCCCAACTTCCTCTCTCCTCCTCCCTATCTTCCAGATGCCATCACCAATCTTCAATAAAGGTAAGTAAAAATGTTATTTTATATATTTATTTAAATTTATTAATACATAATTGTACACTATATTTGTTGTGTGTATGTAAAACTATAATTAATCTCTATAAAATGCATTTTTTTTTTGTGAATATTTTTGGGTTTCTGGAATGGATTAATTTTATTTCCATTATTTCTTATGGGAAATATTGCTTCACTTTTCAAACTTTTTGAACTTAGAACTAGCTCCTGGAACAGATTAAGTTCGAAATTTGATGTTCCACTGTATATGTTTCTTGTCATCGTCTTGTCATCAGTGTCGAGGTTCGGAGGCTACTCTCTCCTGTCTTCGCATTGGACCCACTTGTCTTACTCATGGGTATCTCGTGGAGAGGTGTCTTGTTCCTCTGTGAGAATTGTCAAGTTCCAGTATCTGTTAGCCACATTCTGTTGGACTGCCCACTCTATCAGTGAACATGCAGAATTTGCCTCCAACGTCGTCATCGCTCTGCTGCCCTTTCTTTACCTTCCCTTCTTGCTGACGGACCCTCCTTTAATCCAGACTTTCTCACTGGCTTTTTGACAGCAACTGATTTACTACACAAACTCTGATGATGATGTGTCTAGCACTCTCCTCAGTCCTTCCACCTTTCTCTAGCTACCCTCTACCTCTGCACTATCCACTGCCCTACTGCAATTCATAACCTAATAATCATCTCTCCCTCTTGCTACCCATTACCCCTGCATCCTTCCCTGCCCTGCTGTGCTGTATAACCCTTGTGGTTTAGCACTTCTTTTTGATTATAATAATAATAATCCTCATCACTTTCTTCACTAGACAAGTGGTCATACTGCTGCCACTTGCAATTAATTAGAGCCTGAAAATACATCAGTAGAACTTGCACCACAGCATTGACAAGTCTGCTATGCACAGTGGATATCACTATATAAGAGTTATGAATGGCCTAATATGAAGTATTATAAATTAACATAAGGTTTACCTCTCTACGTTTGTGTGAGTGAAAATAAACAAGTAGAAAAGCACAAAAAGATAATGAATTTAAATGTTAGGCATCCAGCAGGTGTGTGTGAGCATGTTAGATAGTGGTGAGTGGAGGCAAAGGGCTTTTGGGACTTCATGAGATGTTGGAGTGTGAGCAAGGTAACATTATGTGAAGGAATTCAGGAGAAACCAGTTAGCTGGATTTGAGTCCTGGAGGTGGGAAGTACAGTGCCTGTATTCTGAAAGAGGGGCAGGGATATTTGCAGTTTGGGGGGGATATCCAAACTGTGGTACTGGAGTGCCTCTAGCAAGATTGATGAAGTGAATGATTGTGGTGAAAGTGTTTCTTTTATGGGTCACTCTACCTCAGTGGGAGATGGCCATTTGTGTTAAAAAAAAAAAAAGGTTTAGTTGGTATTACAGTACATAGGATCAAGATATGGCAATATAGTAGGGGCATGCTTAATTAAAATCTGATATAAAATTAAGGTAAATACCCCTCAAATATAATATTTTCTGTCAAGTATAACAGTTGTATTTTTACAGGTGCTGCTGGTGTTTGTGATGAAAACATTGTGAATGAAGAGGAGATTGAAGAATAACTGATCTTCTCATTGTCATTGACTTTTAAAGTCAGTGACAGTAAAAAAAGTTCTTGAAATTCCTCTTACTTCCTTTTTTTGTAATGAATTGGATATACATTCCAGCTTCATTCTACAGCCCAAGACAGGTTTGAGGATGTGAAGAGGAAAAAAGAATGCAAGAAAAAAAGTGAAGTACAAAGAAAAAGTGAAAGAATTCATTCAAAAAAGATCCCATGAGGGAATAAGAAAAATACAAATGGCTTGAAGAGCATGTTGATAGATCTGTCTGGAGGCTTCACTGTTTTGGCCACTGTCAGAAGGTAACTCCTGGGGTGAGCAAGGCATGAAAGAAATTCATCGATAGAAAGGAAATCTAATGTGCTGGTGCAGTACAGTATATTGTATGAGTGAACAGCTCACATTGAAATAAGTAAACTGATGATATTGTACAAGTTCTTTGCTCATTATTTTTCTGCTATGTAAAGAAAAGTGTTGTGCAGAGTATTGTATTTAGATTTCCAGATATTTTATTGCTTTGAATAATGTTAATTTATGAATTGGGTGTGTCTATTTTAAAATGCCTAATTTTATTCTCTCAAGCCTTCTTGAATAACACATGTAAATCTTTGTTGAAGTAGCTAACAGTGCTATTGTTGATGTTCTGTATTAAGTGATGTCTTTGATAACATTACCTAGCTGTAGTTATCAAGTCTGAGGCTACAATACTTGTGGACCATATTATTTTACTCTCGAGAGAAATAGTTGAGAAATTTTATGTATACTATGTGGGGATGATGAGTTGTATTGCAAGCTGGCTGTATGAGAGAGAAGTTACAGTGGTACCTGTGTGTGTGTGTGTGTGCGCATGTGTGTGTGTGTGCGCGTGTGTGTGTGTGCGCGTGTGTGCGCGTGTGCGCGTGTGTGCGTGTGTGCCTGTAGTTACTAGCACATATCTTAGAATAGTAAATGCATTAATATAACCTGATACATATAGCTATTAGGCAACAAAATTTTGACTGCATCAGTCAGTTATCAGCTGGGAGTCGGTTTTCTGCCAGATCCATTTATTCTTCATTGATATCATCAGGCTGGTGATGAAGAGATCTTTCATATATTTTTAATTGGGTACCTACGTGTTGTCTAACTAGTTTAGAGTTGCTGATTTTACTATTATAGTTTATCCCACATTGGCATTTCTTTTCACTAGATTAATAAAAAGAAGTACAATAGCAATATATAATTATAATGAATTGTGTATTTCAGGAGCCATTAATAGCAACTTTCAGTTGAAATTGAGCATAATATAATTGTTAATAATAAATTTTAATTTTCTACAGTGTGGCTTCCAAAACCTATCTTGTGTACTTTGTGTGCCCAAATATTCTCTAAATCCTTTCCTGTAGTACCTAAATTATGTCTGAAGACATTTTATTCTTAGCATTTTCTGGGTCATAATTTACTATGAACTCCTTGTTCCTTCTCTGTAACTGTTTGTCCTAGTTAACCTAAAAAATCTTGTAATTTTTTTTCAACATTCAAACTGGATAAGTAAAGGTAGTTGCACAGCAATGTATTAAGAACATAAGGGGACTAGCTTTTAAAATCTTGGCAAAAATTACTGCTGGTTACTGTTATGGTTAATTTTCACTGACATTGGAAATTTTTTGTTTATCACATTTTGTTGGCCAATGATGTAGATGGTGCTGCTGTTTGGGGAAGCATACTTGAATTCACTTCCCAGGAGACATTAGATTATGCTGTTGTAGATTTAAGGAGCATAGACAGCATAGAACATCGTAAATAAGCTATATTTCTTGATGCTTGGATATTATAGCTTAAAACATGTGGAATGGGTTTCCTGTCAGCCAGATTTCTTGGGCAAGCTTACCCAGCTCTGCATCAAAGGTCATGCCAATGTAGAAATAAACTCTTTAAGGTAAATGTTATTATACCACAATGACATAATGTTAAGAAAATAGAACATAAATAATTGTGCACTTTAAATATATTTAATTTTAATATTTAAAACCAAATAATTATACTTAGATATATTGAGCAAATTTATAATCCAGAGATATATAACTGCTCATTTTGTGGTATCAACAGAAGAAAATTACAGACATTAATAAAGGCTGCATATAATGTAGCCTAAGATATTGGCCTTGTGATAATCTCCCAACCAATGCAAGTGTTTAGTCACTAGAACACTTACTCTGTAAGATAGGTTGTATTGAACTAAATGTTAGTATTGTGTGGAAGCCTCAATTTCACTAGCTGTATTAGTGTTTTGCTCCTGTTATAAATATGTCTTCCCTCTGACACTTCAGTAAGCACACTGGAATCTGAGAGATGTGCTTATATTATTGTTTTAAAAGTAGCCTTCAGTATTTTCTCATGGTTTTCATTCAAAATGATATTTTTACATTTTTTAATTCTTCAGGAAGTGCCTTCATGCTGGTGAAGGGCTCTTAATCTAATGAATTAGAGCTGCCTTCGTGAATCAAATCTGATTACTCTCCACCCATCTTATTACCTAGGTGCTGTATAACCTTCATGGGTTTTAGATCTTGCCTATGAATTTAATAATACTACAGGCTGACCTCACATAATGCTGGAGTTACATTCCTGAAATCAGTCTTAAATATAATTTCATGATATATATATAATGTAGGGGGGAAATAGAGTTAGGTTCATGGCACCTCCAGAAAAAAAAATAGAAATTTTTTAAGTGTTCATTTCATAAAAAATAATGAAGGTTTTAACAAAATACATTGTGGATATTGTTTCCTTTTCATCAAGAAATGTACATTATGTACTCTAAATAAAAACTAAAACTTAATAAGGCCCATAGGATGCTGGTGTTTGACACATTGTAATATCTGTTCCTTCCAAAGTTAATGGGCATGGCACTCCTGCCAGTGAAGATGGAGAAGTCTAATGTGCCACAAGTTACTGTTATAAATTTAATATAAAATCTTTCAGTATTAAATATTCCTAAGAAGTAATAAGAGTTTTACCCTACCTTAAATTCTTTATTTCTCTTGCTTCTTTATGTAGAAGTGTGTGGAGATGGTTGTGTAGCTTATTGTGTAGTAGATGGCTGTGGGTCGCAAATGACTCGACTTACATCTTATCGCCTGACACCGTTGCTCGGTTCACTGTATAATTTTCTCGTATGTACTGACAAGGAAGAATTTGATCATACTTTAAATTCGTTGTTATATTGCTTGATGCAGTGTTTGGAGATGTTTATGCAGGCAGTAAGTGCTAGATGGCTGTGAGCCATCTGTTTTATGTTTTATCAGATGATGTCATTGAGTCAGCTGACATCAGATAATTCTCTATACAATTCTTTTCATTTATAATAGTTACATGGAAGTTTTTATCTTACCTTTAATTCCTTATTCTCTTGCATGTTGATGTAGATATCTTTGGAGATTCTGTATGGCTTATTTGTGCAGTAGACTAATGGGTGGTCTCTCTTGTTAGTTGACACTGCCCATTTCATCATATGACACCATCACACATTTTACTACACAATTTTCTCATTTATAATGGAAACAATAAAGAATTTTTTCCTTCCTTAATTTCCTTGTTCTCTTCCTTGTTGATAAATAGGTGTTTGGAGATATTTATGACTACTGAGTTAGCAACGACCTTTCCCCAGGTTATATAAATAACTGAACAGAAAATTTTTCATGCCCGAGCCACTTTTTTAAAACTTTTACAGTATGTAAAACTTCATTTTAATAGTGTGAATATAAAAAATGAATAGCATTGTAACAAAAACATGCTGTGTAAGCTTTCACCATGAGAGGTCTGTGTGTAGCACATTTTCTTAAGTTTGTGGTGCACGTCTTTACTCGTATAAGTACAAGCTTCCCCCTATTTTGACAGCTATATTAACATGACATTGTTTAATGTTAGATGACTGGCTAATTAGGTAACAGTGAAGCTCTGCTGACTGGCCTAGTAAGTGCCTTAGGTATCACCAGGCTCCCTACCAAACTTGTCATACCTTTATGTACCCCTATTAAGGTGATAAGATCAATAATAGAACACTTAACATCATCTGATAAACTTGAACCAAACATAAAATACATAATGCTAACTAACGATTATACATGTATGTAGTTTTCAAACTAGGCTGAGTATCTTTTGGTTATTCTTTCCTAATGAATATAGTAATTACCAGACTGCCATCCACACCTTTCGGGCTCACGATGGATGTAGTGATCCTAGAAACATGCAGGCTTCAGATGACATCAGAACCTGAGAGATAGCAAGCCACTTCCGTCTAGTTTAACTGTATATTGATAGAACCCAGCCTCAACATCAACTGTTCTTTTCCATCATATTGTGGTGGGATCTTGTATATTTGCATCGTCCTGTACCTGTAGTTGGGGCATATACCCAGCACCTTGATCATTCCTCTCTCTGACCTACTTTACAGCTTCTTCCATTTGCACCTCTCTGAGGCAGCATCCTCTACCACTGGGTCACTCTGTCATATTGCTGTCTCCCTGTAGTCAATTCTATGGGTGACTATCTTGCAGGGGCATGTTAAGGTACTAAAGGAGAACATTGGAGACTGTCAGTCAGCAAGTTACCTTCTCTCTTGGTACTATTACAGATTATCTTATTGGCCATGTGACCTGCAGCATTTGCCTGCCCATACAGAGTAGTGGGTGGATGACAATCTTGTAGTAACACTCAACTGCTTGATAAATTTCAGAATTACAGCACTAGAGAGGTTGTTACGTCCATTTGTGGACCCCTCCTTTGGAGCCCTACCTGGTGAAGCAACCTCTTGATTTCAAGATGAAGTTGGTTGATGAGGCACCATTGGGCATACAGAACATCCCCCACTCAGCATGTCACTCTATTTACTTTAGTTATATACAGCTGGGTCTCAACCTGGAACAGGTCTGCCACTGCTTGTTGGAATGAGTATTCCATAGGTGGAGTGTAGAACAGGACACCTAGTGCTGGGAGCATGCAATTCACAAATCTTACATACTTAATGGTGCTACAGATCAGTTTCTGGTCCTTTCAGAAAACTGCCTGATGGGCTCTGCATACCATAGAGTATTCCTTGGCAGCTGGCATGCAGGTTGGCTACTTCCTGGTGCTTTAGTGGGAAATCAGGTGCACACACCATTGTTTACATGTGTCACCAGCTTATCTGAAATTGTCAACAATTTCATTTTGTGCATGGCTTGAGATGGAACTGACTTGACCATCAGGCTTCTTCTCTGTCCTAATTGTTTATTAGCAGTTGATATTCAGACTCGGCAGCTGCTGCACTCATCGCCATATCCTGGTTCAATACTAACCCATCTTCCACTGCAAGAGCTTATATAGTGGCCACCACTGGTTTGTCATCTTGCTGTCTGGGGGAACTTCCAACACAGAATAATAGTACAGGCCCCCACTTATACAGTAAAGCAAAAATCACTGTAAAGTGAAACATGGTCTTTTTTCACTTTCAAGTGCATATAAAAGCTTACCCTATTGTATATTAAGTAAGCAATAGAGCTAGGCCTAAAAAATATGTATACAGTACACACATTATTTATCTTAAAATATTTTTGTCCTTAGCTTATAGTGAGTGGTGAATATATTTATTGTAGGAAGTCTGAATAAATGAAGAATAGGTATCACTGAAAACTGCAGTATTAGCAAAATGCTGTAAAGTGGGGCCCTCCTGTATAGGTTGTCCACGGTTCTTTTTCCCATGATGGTATTTAACATGGAAGTGATACTGCAGTGCCTTTAAGCAAGACAGCCTAGTGTTTGCGGTCACTCGATACCTTATCCCCAGTTGCTTTGAACAGAAGGCTGTGGTCAGTCACTAAGGTGAAGTTTGGATATCCAAGTTGGAATAAGTGGGCTTTCTTTAAGCACCACAGTACTGCAGGTGTGTCTTCCTCTTCTGTGGCATAACTGGCATCAACTGACTTCAGAAGGTGGTTCTCACACAGGGTAAGCCACCTTGGTGGCAAAACTGAATGGTTTTGCAGGACTGTGAACCTTGTGACCTCTATCCCTGTCACTGATCACTGATTTTAGTTAGGATTAATCATAATATACTAGCTCATTCTTTGCTATCTGACAGATGTCTTTAATCACCTACAGTGACCATTAACCCTTAAACTGTCCAAACATAGATCTGTGTTTGTACTGCTAGCGCTCCGAACGTAGATCTACGTTTTATTTTACATGCTTTCAAACGTAAAAAAAAAGCGTAGATCTACGTTCGGAGCACTAGCGGTGAAAACGTAGATCTATGTTTGGACAGTAAGGGTTGAGCATGGGAGGTTATTCATGGTGCCATGCTCTCCTGCCACACCACATTAAATGGTATTTTTGGTATGGGGAGGCTGGGCCTCCATCCTATGGCACCTTGCTATATGGCCTTTAATGCCATAGATGTATCACACCATAGCTTTTCAAAATGGCTCCTACACCTGTGTCTGGCAGGGCATTGCTTGCTGCTACAAACCCACTGTTATTCATGTTTCATTTACAGATTCATATGCACAACACTGATTTTGAATAGATTTTCCAATATTCTTTTTATCTCAATCTATAAAAAATTTCTTGCCTCAAAGATGAATAAGCAGGTAACACAGTCAGTTTTTTTTTTTTTTTGATGTCATTTCTGTGTCTACACTATACAGAGAGAGAGCTGATGGGTCAGGTGCCTCAGGCATCACGAGACACCCAACCAAACTGTTGTACCCCAATAATTCTGTCTTTCTCTGGGAAAGTGAAAGAGGTAGCAAGCTAACAAGCAGATAAAACATCACATTAGGCTTGTTACAATGTTTTGCTGAAGGGAAGCTGATGTGATGAAGTTTCCCTTCTGGGGAAAACTTGGTTATAATAAATGTTTATGCTATTTCTTGTATCTGTCGTCCTGTCTCCTCTTTCTACTACTATTTAAAAATATTTTTCTTTATTTTTTAACCTTTGTCCTCTTTTTCTGGGAGAAAGCAGAGGTGATGTGTTTAGGGTACAGAGAAGACTAATTCAATGCTTTGTTTTGGTTTTGGAAAATGCTCTTTTCAAAGAGGCTCTATTGGGTAAACTAATTTCTCACTGAACCCATTTCGGAATTAAAAGTGGTTCCATTAAAAAGAATCAGCACTAAATTGGATGAGTTTTCATCCCAAAAATGTGTGTGAAATATTTTACCTTGCACAATAGATACTACTCTATTGAACTTTATAAGACTGTCCCATAAAGGAAGGTCCCTTGCTGCATTGAAAAGGCTCTTGACCTAATAAACTGAACCAACCTTTTTACCTTTCCATATTCACACACTATTGTCTTCCCTTAATTTACCTTCCCTTTACATTCACTCTGCGTCTTGCTTCTCTCCTTCCTTGTGAAATCTCGACAATTCATGTTTGCTCTTCTCCACTTCGATGCGCAAAAGCTCACTTGCCTGTTGTAAATTTATGCTTGCTCTTTACAGAACATTTCCATTCTCATTCTCATACTACTGCAGTGTACACTGATGGTTCTAAATCCCTCGATGTTGGGTATCCAGCATTTTTTCCTGAAAAAATAATCAATGTTCATATGCTAGAATCAGCCAGAGTTTTCACAGCAGAGTTATGTGCAATTTTTATTGCTGTCGTATACATTGCATTTATGTTCACCTTGCCCTTCATAGTTCCTTTTGACTCCCACAGTGTATTACAGGCTATTCAAAAATGTGATTCCTTTCATCCTTTCTATAAAACTTTAATTGATTATGTCTCATTTTTAGGGGTCCCTAGGCACATCAATGTTTGTAGCAACAAACAGACTAAGCCTCTCAGTCAGCTGTTCATAACCACCCAATTTGCCCTAGGCATTCCTTTCTTGGATTATTTTCGGTGATCTCTCAACAACTCTGCAACCTCTGTCAACTTTGGTTCATCAGACCATGTTAAGGATTCTAGCCATCTTTCTACTAATGTCATGATTGGGAGATTGCAGTCTCCCACTTATGTGCTGGCCACTTGTGACTTACTCGTATGATTATTTTATTTTTTATTTATTTCATTAACACATTGGCTGTTTTCCGCTACTGCGGGGTGGCCTGAAAAAGAAAACTTTCATCATTCACTCCATCACTGTCTTGCTAGAGATGCGCTTACACTACAGTTATAAAACTCCAACATTAACACCACTCCTTCAGAGTGCAGACACTGTACTTCCCATCTCCAGAACTCAAGTCCTGCCTGCCAGTGTCCCTGAATCCCTTCATAAATGTTACCCTGCTCACACTCCAAACAACTGATTTACTCCACAAACTCTGATGATGATACCTTTAGCACTCCCCTCAGCCCGTTCTACCTCAATCTCTTGCTACCCTCTACCCCCGCACTATCCACTGCCCCGCTGTTCTCCGTACCCTACTAATCATCCCTCTCCCTTTTGCCAGCCGATACCCTCGCTTCCTTCCCTGCCCTGCAGTGCTGTATAGCCCTTGTGGTTTACCGCTTTTTGATTATAATAATAATGCTCACACTCCAACAGCACATCATGTCCTAAAAACCATTTGTCTCCATTCACTCCTATCACACACTCATGCATGCTTGCTTGAAGTCCAAGCCCCTCACACACGAAGCCTCCTTTACCCCCTCCCTTTAACTTTTCCTAGGCCAACCCCTGCCCCACCTTCCCTCCACTACAGATTTATACACTCGAAGTCATTCTGTTTTGTTCCATCTTCTCTACATGTCCAAACCACCTCAATAACCTTTCCTCAGCCCTCTGAATAATAGTTTTGGTAATCTCGCACCTCCTCCTAATTTCCAAAGTACGAATTCTCTGCATTATATTCACGCCACACACTGCCCTCAGACATGACATCTCCACTGCCTCCACCCTTCTTCTTGTTACAACATTCACCACCCATGCTTTATACCCATATAAGAGTGTTGGTATAACTATACTCTCATACATTTCCCTCTTTGCTTCCATGGACTAAGTTCTTTGTCTCCACAGACTCCTCAGTGCACCACTCACCCTTTTCCCCTCATCAGTTCTATGATCCAGGTTGCACTTTCAGTTCTCCGTATCTTCTATTAGCAAGCATGCAGAATTCACTTCCTATGTCCCTGCCTTCCCAACACACTCACTGACCTCAATGAAATTTCACCTTTAATTCAGACTCTGACTTTTTTACAGAAACTAGCCTGTTGTACCAACTTCGATGTAGATTGTACTCTTATACTCTCCACTACTCCCACTGACCCCTAATTTTTTTAACCTGTCCCGCACTCTCTCCTAGCCTTGGCACATTACTACTTTTGCCCACCTTCCCTGCAGCTCTATAATGACCCTTTCGGATGTGATGCTTAAATTATTATTCAAAGGGCTGCAGATGGGTTGGACACCTAGAGCAGATAGAGCAAAATAAGATGACTAGGAGTGCATATAAATCTGGGGTAGAGGGAAGGAGGGGTAGGGGATGTTATGGGAAAGGATTAGGGAGATTTTAAGTGCTAAAGGCTTGCATCCAACAGGCTTGTGTGAGTGTGTTGGCTTGCATCCAACAGGCTTGTGTGAGTGTGTTGGCTTGCATCCAACAGGCTTGTGTGAGTGTGTTGGCTTGCATCAACAGGCTTGTGTGAGTATGTGGCTTGCATCCAACAGGCTTGTGTGAGTATGTTGGCTTGCATCCAACAGGCTTGTGTGAGTGTGTTGGCTTGCATCCAACAGGCTTGTGTGAGTGTGTTAGGAGTGAGTGGAGGCAAGTGGTTTTTATGATGTGCTGTTTGAGTGTGAGCAGGGTAGCATGAAGAGATTTAGGGAAACCAGTTAGCCAGACTTGAGTCCTGGAGGTAGGAAGTTGAGTAAATGTACTCTGAAAGAGGATGAAGATGCCAGTATGCTTCTCGCTAGAAAGTGATTGAATGACTGTGAATGTGTTTCTTCTTGCAGGTCACCCTAGCTCAGTGGAAAATGGCCAATGTGTTAATAATAATAATAATACTAACCCCTCATCATTTGTTCTGGAAAAGGTTAGAATTGTGACCTTCACTGAGATCAGTTAGTCTGCTCAACCCTCTCACCATATCTTAAACACCAGTGTTCTTACATACCAGCTTCACAGACTCATACTCTCTCATGAATAGATACCTCCATTCTTCCACAATAAATTGTCTGCAGAACAGTGATTATTTCCCTACTTCTTGTTATTATTCTTACCCTTCTTGCTGATCTTGGTGGTAGTTCATTGTATCAAGCCTGACTGCCCCATTTTCTCAGGTGCTGTATGACTATGGGCCTAATGATTCCCCCTAAATGTAACGATAATTGTAAAATGTGAGCCAGTCGGAGATACACACTCAATGTACAGTTGCCTCTTGGCAAGTTTTTAATGGTAATTTAATTACAAATATTTTTTTCTGGATATAGACTCAAGTCACTGTGACAAGGCATATTAAGATTGAAGAAGGCAAATAATTGAGGCTTCCATACATTTCTTAAATTACCAAATAGATATTTCTTGTATATGGTCCAGATGTGCATCAGCAAAGATCAAGGTTTTCTTTAGAAGGTAAGAAGTGTCTCTATAGTTTCTCTCTCTCACTCAGGTGCCATAAAATATTTATATGTTCTGTTAATCCAAAAATATTTTTTAATTGTAATAAACCTATTCTGATATATGTACACTAATTTCAGACTGCTGATAAGAATTCTTATATCAAAGAGATAAATAGTTTTAATCATGGTAATACATATACATGAATAATTAAACCAAATTATTTTAATTATAGTATCTTTTTAAAGATTCACACAGTTATGTATTGTGTAATTGAGTAGAACAATGGAGGCTCTGTCTTCCTTCTGAGGACTAAACTCCCACCTTTCTTGACAAGAATCATGTATATGACCTGCTGACAATGTTAGGTTGTTTAGAAAGATTTCCAGAGTACCCTGTACAAGCTGTGAAACTGGCTGCCAGGGTGCTCCTGGTAACTGGATCTTCTGTGGTTTTGATGATCGGATTTGTTGTGGTTTTGACGATGGTCTGGCGTAGTCTTCAAACCCACGTAGAATGTCATCTCGACCACCTGGTCCAGGTGGTCTTGACTAATAGGTCTGGAGTGGTTTGAAGTGGTGTTGATGACCAGTTGTGATGTGGAATTGACAACTGGGTCTGGTATGATTTTGATGACTAGGTTTGGTGTGATTTTTTGTGAATAAGTCTGGTGTGGCCTTGCTGAATGAGTCTGATGTGGCCTTCATGAATGAGTCTGATCTGGCCTTCATGAATGAGTCTGATGTGGCCTTCATGAATGAGTCTGATGTGGCCTTCATGAATGAGTCTGATGTGGCCTTCATGAAAGAGTCTGACTGGCCTTCATGAATGAGTCTGATGTGGCCTTCATGAATGAGTCTGATCTGGCCTTCATGAATGAGTCTGATCTGGCCTTCATGAATGAGTCTGATGTGGCCTTCATGAATGAGTCTGATCTGGCCTTCATGAATGAGTCTGATCTGGCCTTCATGAATGAGTCTGATGTGGCCTTCATGAATGAGTCTGATGTGGTTTTTGACAACTGTCTTTCTTCCAGTTTTGATGACTGGGTCTCTTGTCATCTTGACAACTGATCTCTTATGGTCTTAACCAGGTATGGGGTGGTCTTGACAGTTAGGTCTTGTGTGGTCTTGATAAGATAAGATAAGATAAGATAAGATTTCGTTCGGATTTTTAACCCCGGAGGGTTAGCCACCCAGGATAACCCAAGAAAGTCAGTGCGTCATTGAGGACTGTCTAACTTATTTCCATTGGGGTCCTTTATCTTGTCCCCCAGGATGCGACCCACACCAGTCGACTAACACCCAGGTACCCATTTGCTGCTAGGTGAACAGGACAACAGGTGTAAGGAAACGTGTCGAAATGTTTCCACCCGCCGGGAATCGAACCCGGGCCCTCCGTGTGTGAAGCGGGAGCTTTAGCCACCAGGCCACCGGGCCAGGTTTGATGTGGTCATGATTACCAGGCCTGGTATGACTTGATGAGGCCTAGTGAGGTCATGACAACCTGGTGTGGTGAGGTTTTGATGATGTCTGGTGTGGGCTTGGTGGCCAGTCCTGTGTGGTATTGACCATGATTGCATTGATCTCAAGGCAATCTAATCTTTCCACTTCTTCTGCTGTATCAATACCTCAATGAAATTTATATGCAAGATTTTCAGTAATTTGTGTTTACGTATATGAAGTTAGTTCCTTAATATTTTATTGATATATGTTCATCTTCTCACCCTTGTAAGTCAAAACTTCCACTTCATCACAGTAGACAGCATAAGTGATAACATACAAGTGATTTGTGTAGTAAATACTTCATGAGATACTTTTATTTTCAAAAGTACAGTGGACCCCCGCATACGATCACCTCTGAATGCGACCAATTATGTAAGTGTATTTATGTAAGTGCGTTTGTACGTGTATGTTTGGGGGTCTGAAATGGACTAATCTACTTCACAATATTCCTTATGGGAACAAATTCGGTCAGTACTGGCACCTGAACATACTTCTGGAGTGAAAAAATATCGTTAACCGGGGGTCCACTGTATTATTAAACAAGGTACCTAATCTGCATTTTAATTTTCACTGCATTTTAATTTTCCTAATTCACTAGTTCTTGTTTTTGTACCAATATGGATTGACAGCAACTCAAACATTATGTTGCTATACTTTATTAAAGTGTTACATACTGTCTAAATTCCTGAAGTACGAAATGTAGAACCCACTAAATGGTTAGAAGTTTCCCGACTGTTCATTACATACAGTAACAGGATTCCTAGTAAATTATTGCTAATAGAAATTTGCTAATACTGCTTTGTGTAAAATCTATTTTATAGATTTTACAAGTTCTTACAAGCAAACGAGAAAGCAGATGGTGGCGCAAGTTTTCGCCTGTGTTCCAAGACATTTTAAAAGTGATGATCATTTATACAGAGGTATATACCTTGTGAAATTAAATGCTTCCATACACAGCACTACAAAATAAAATATGCCTCACAACCAGCTGAAGTGTAAAGAAATAGTGTAGTGATATACATTGTCATCTCAATGTATAGGTGTTTGTCAATAAACTGATGCAAGAGCAAGTAGTAAGCCACCTATCATGACATTGTCATTGGCAACATAGTTATCACTGCATACCTCAACTGCAGCATAAAGTCTTAATTTTGTTAAATATTGTCAGCCTCATTAGGATTTTTCCATTACTGGTAAATAATTCATGTGCCAGTTAGGGACGAAGTGTAATATGTGAAAAGTCTACATTTTGTTTACAGTAGTAGATTGTGAATACTGGAAATGAATATTGTGAAGAGAGATTGTAACAATACTAGGACAGGACTGGTAAACCAGTGCCAGGATTTTCTTTACCCGTCCAGTATATGAATATGGTTGTTTTATTTAATAAATCATTTCCCACCAAAGTTGAGTTGAACAAGAAAGGAGATACATTCACCAACAATTATTGAATAACTCTCTTGCTATATGTGTGCAGACATGATAATTCCAATGACCTGTTCTTCAGAATGCAGGTCCTATGCTTCCCACCTCCGGAACTTAAGCTCGGAAAACTGGTTTTCTTGAATTCCTTCATAAATGTTATTTTGATCACACTCCAACAGCACTTCTAGCCATGAAAACCACTTGTCTCCACTCCAGTCTAAAAGGCAAGTGTACACATACACACACATACAAATATATACATACACACCCACACATAGATAAGAGTAAGGTGATGAGGGTATCAAACGATTTAAATAAAGAAAAATTGGATATCACATGGAGGAGAGGGAGTATGGAAAAAGTGAATGTTTTCAGATATTCGAGAGTTGACGTGTCAGTGGATGGGTTTATGAAAGATGGCGACAACCATAGAATTGATAAAAGAAAATAGTTGAGTGGTGCATTGAGGTATCTGTGGAGACAAAAAACGTTGCCCATGGAGGCAAAGAAGGGAATGTACGAAAGTACATTTCAACACTCTTATATGGGTGTGAAGCTTGGGTTGTAAATACTGTGGCGAGGAGGCGGCTGGAGGCAGTGGAGATGTAATGTCTAAGGGCAGAGAATTTGGAGTGTGGAAATTAGGAGGAGGTGTGAAGCTGCTAAAAGTATTAGTCAGAGGGCTGAAGAGGGGTTGTTGAGATCGTTTGGTAATTTAGAAAGAATGGAACAAGTAGAATGACTTGGAGAGCATATAAATCTGTGGGGGAAGGAAGGCAGGGTAGGGGTCATCCTTGAAAAGGTTGGAGGGAGAGGGTAAAGGAGGTTTTGTGAGTGAGGAACTTGGGCTTCCAGAAAGCATGCTTGAGTGTGTTAGACAGGAGCGAATGGAAACGAATGGTTTTTGGCACCTGACGATCTGTTGGAGTGTAAGCATTGTAATATTTTGTGAAGGGATTCGGGGAAACAGGTTAGCCGGACTTGAGTCCTGGAAATGGGAAGTACAATGCCTGCACTTTAAAGGAGGGGTTTGGGATATTTGCAGTTTGGAGGGACTTCTAAACTGTTGTATCTGAGCACCTCTGCAAAGACAGTGATTATGTATGAATGATGGTGAAAGTGTTGAATGATGATGAAGGTATTTTTCCTTCTTTTTGGGTTTTTCTTTCTTTTTGGGTCACCCTGCCTTGGTGAGAAATGACCAACGTGTTAAAAAAAATACATACATTCATATATACACACACAAACACACATACACAAACACATACACATGCACACAAACACATATACACACACAAGCACACATATACATAGGAGCTATGACTCGACCCCTGCAACCACAAATAGGCAAGTACACACAAACACATTTGATTAATGTGGGTTTGCCAGTGTTGTCCTGGCCCGGGTCTTTTCCAGTTAGTGACCCGGCAACATACACACTGGAGACAGGAGGGATAGGGAGGACATGATAACGACATATAAAATACCGAAAGGAATTGACAAGTTGAAGAGAGACGGGATGTTTCAGACATAGGAGACAGCAACAAGGGGTCACATTTGGAAGTTAAAGACTAAGATGAGTCAGAGGGATGTTAGGAGGTATTTCTTCAGTCTGGAAAGTGAGGTAGTGGAGGCAGGATCCATACATAGCTTTAAGAAGAGGTATGATACAGCTCATGGAGCAGGGAGAGAGAGGACCTAGTAGCGACCAGTGAAGAGACAGGGCCAGGAGCTATAACTCGACCCCTGCAGCCACAGTTAGGTGAGTACGTACGTACACACACACATTTCCTCTGTACTTCTCCAATCTGATATCCAGTCTATCATTATCAAGACATTTTTGTTACTGTAATTGCCTTGCTCTTTCCTATATTCACTTATAATTTCCTTATACAGTGGACCCCCGGTTAACGATATTTTTTCACTCCAGAAGTATGTTCAGGTGCCAGTACTGACCGAATTTGTTCCCATAAGGAATATTGTGAAGTAGATTAGTCCATTTCAGACCCCCAAACATACACGTACAAACGCACTTACATAAATACACTTACATAATTGGTCGCATTCGGAGGTGATCGTTATGCGGGGGTCCACTGTATTACACATCTTCCAGAATTCCTCCATCATCCTTTGCAACTTCTCTTCAGAATTTTCCCATAGAACTGTGTCACTGGCAGAGAGCAACTGTGACAATTCCACTTTGTATCAGATTCATTATCTTTTAATCTAACACCATGACATTCATTTACTTTAGAACTCAGTTATAAATGTGTTAAACATTCACGTGTAAGGTCAACTTTCATAAGAAAATGGTGCCCTTATCTCCCACATACCCTAACCTGAGCTTCATGCTGCATAAAAACTATTACTACTAGTAACCTAACTTTTCCATACATTTGTACTATCCATCCTATCATATGCCTTTTCTAAATTCCTAAATATGACAAACAGTTCCTTATCTTTAAGTACTGTTTACTTGTAATCTTTGATGTAATCACTGTGCGCATCCTCTGTCCTTCCTAAATCCTTATTCCTCTGCAGTCCCATTTCCTGTCTTGTTCCTAGCACTTTCAATAATTATTCATCCATGCACTTATCCACTATACTCAACTGACTTATTTTCTTTATTTCCCCTTTTCCCCTTATACAAAGGAATCTTTCCTTCATGCAAATATATATTGAAAAATAAACCAACACTGCTTTACCCACTTGTTTCTTACTTCCACTACATTTGCCTCTGGCTCTTCCTACAAGATATTCCTCCATACTCAGTGCACGAAATTGCTCCATCCCTGTCATCATCAGCATTTAACAATTCAAAATATTCTCTCAGTTTTTTAGTACTTCCACTTCAAAGCCATTTTTTCCTAGGGTTTCTCAACTTTATACTAATTGCTCTTCATAGCTCTTTCATATTCTCAGCAGAATCTGCTGGTAAACATTCACCAGTAACTTTTTTTCACTATTAATTTAACCTCTTTCTCTCTCCTTATACTTTGTCTTATGTGTATCAGTTTTACATTGTAAAAACCCACTTTTATTTTATTTTTTCCCTATTACCACACCCTTTGGCTCGTCATTCCACCCTCTTACCACCACAATTTTCTGCTGTTCACACTATCACTGCATTTTTTATTTGTCCCATACCTCTTTGACCTCCTCATTACCTTTATTTTCTAAAACCCACCTTTCTTCTAATGGATGATTATATCTTCTGCTAATTGTCTCCTGTAGTTCATTCACTTCTCTTACTGTCACTAATGCCATTCACCTTGTGCTCCTTCTTCCTTTTCCTATTATTATTGCTTCAACTGAATAATGATCTCAAATATCAGTTGCTCCTTTTAAAATAAATTACATCCAAAAGCCTACCTATCCACTTTTGTCTACCAAAACATAATCTGTCAAACTACTGTCGCTGAGCACTATCATGTCATGTGTACTCATGCCTTTCCGTGTGCTATTCACTGAAAATGGTGAGAGCCTAAAACATATTGCCAGATAATGAGTTACCAAACCTTGTTTTATACACAATTCAGTTAGACTGCCCCCTTATCATTTACCGCTTTCATTCCAACTGCATGACCCTTGTTGGTTTAGCCGTTTATTTGATTATAATAATGTTTCACTCTAAACTTACCTTTTATGACATCTACCATAGTCCCTCCACCTGTAGCAGTTTGGTCCCCCAGAACAATTATTCTTTAACTTCAAAACCCATTAAACATTCACACATCACCTCAAAAATAATTGTTTTCTCTATTTTTACACTTGTCTCACCTGCCCCAGATGCATAAACACTTTCTTTTAACTCATTTCTCACATCCCACTTTTATTCTGATTTACATAGTTCTTGAATTTAAACACTTAAGTCTCTTCATTCCTTTCCAGAGTTAATTATTTAATACAGTGGACCCCCGGTTTACGATCAGCTCCCAATGCGACCAATTATGTAAGTGTATTTATGTAAGTGCGTTTGTATGTGTATGTTTGGGGGTCTGAAATGGACTAATCTAATTCACAATATTCCTTAGGGGAACAAATTCGGTCAGTATTGGCACCTGGACATACTTCTGGAATGAAATAATATTGTAAACCGGGAGTCCACTGTACTACCACTGTTTACAGGTATCCTTCAATTTGTGATAAATGTGTTCCTGGCTGATGATGCATAAAGTGAAATAGCATATAATGAACCCATTATAATGTGTAATAGATAGGGATTTTTTTCTCAGACTTGGGAAATTCAACATTTTCCTCATTTTTTTACCAAATGCTTTCATACTTTGCGAATGTTCATTTCATGCATATATGAAGACCTAACATTTTTGGGGGTAAAAGACTGATCAAGAATTATAGATTTATTATTTGAGTTGAGTTAGAACATGAGGTAGTGGCTTGCTGGAGGAGGAGTGGAGAGTTGTTGATGAGGCATGGTGGTGGGTGAGAAGCGTTTAAGCCATGGCAGGAGGCCCCAGTCCTGGCCCAGGGATAGGACAGGGAGGGGGTGTTGACTGGGACCCCAGGAGGATGACCTTTCCTGAACTGGTGGCCATGTCACTCACTGCCTCCTTCATTCCCTGCCCCCTTCATTCCCTGCCCCCTTCACTTCTTGCCTCCCTCAGTGTTAGTAAGGGTGGGGAAGGTTGGGCTCATGTGTCCTGGACATGTAAAGTGGGTGAGGTGCATGTCATGATACAAGGAGCATCCCTTACCACTGCCTTTAACACACATGTTTTTAGAGTGATAGTTAATGCAATATTGATTAAATATCAAGTGGTTCTGTGCTCGAGTGATTGCATACGAGTGAAAAAGTAGGCATAGAGATTACATATATTTATGATTATCATTACTAACAAATAGTGCAATGAGAGAATAATTTATTTCATACAAACTGGGAACAATATTTTGTAAAAGTCACAATACTTTTATATGAATTTAATAAGTTTGCCACTCAGAATTCCCATAGGCATGAGAAAGAAGTTTTCCCCAAAATTGTCAACAGTGGACACTAAAAAGTTCACCAGCCCTGTTGTTTTAAATTTTAATGTGTAAAACAAACACTTTAATTTACTTCTTTATTTTCCTTTAGTGTACCAGATGTGAACCCTCATTTTCCCTCCTTCCTCCTTCCTAAACTGTTGAAATGAGTCATGTAAAGCAGGCAACTATGGTAGTTAATATTATGGAAGTAGTTCATCATGTGTGACAGGAATTTACTATGTATTGCCAAACAGTATCACAGTTGTGCTCATATATGAATACCTTTTTATCCTTTTGTAGTAGCTTAGATTTAACCAGACCTAATAACATCACATTATATTTTATGGTCTCCATTTTTTTAAACGAATGATTTTATATGAGCTAAACTTAAAACTATAGTTTTCTAAGATTTATATTTGACAGCTCATGTAAGTGAGTTTTAAAGAAGAGCTTATATTTTGCAGCCAAGAAAAAAGTTGTGATCACAAGCAGAAGACTTGTACAGTCTAAGGAATAAAGCTAACAGTGATATGTCATCCTTTAAATCCTTACTACAAAGATGCATGAATCCATATATGTGAAAATTATTACTGAGAATATTTAAAAGGTAAAATATTGGTGTCTATTGTAACTGTATTTTAGTACTTTGCAAGTGATAGACAATAAATATTTTTATGTAAGTCTTAACTGAGCTTTTTATATCCAAATGTGCTGTATATCCCTTGTGGCTTAGCGCTTCTTTTTGATTATAATAATAATATATCCAAATGTGTATCTATTTTATTCTTGAAAGATTCTTCTTAGCGACTTCCTCATCAAGGTGGATCCCTAGCCATGGCAAAGAGGCTCTTGGTCCAAGGAATTTGCCTCTTGTCTCCTTTGGATCAAATCTAAATACCGATTTCACCCCCCTTTCTTCCCTTCCTCTACATTTGGCCTTTGGGGGTATTCCTCTAGTAATTTACTGCTCCTGAGTTGAAGGAAAAGGGATAATTGTCCATCCCATTGCATTGAGGCCCTCAATGGTGGTGGCATTTGCCATGGTAATTGAATTATCTGGGGATGTGCTGGGCTGCTCTCTGGAGTTCCAGAGGCAGGCAGGGAGGCTTCCTCTTTCCTTAAGGTGATGAAAGTACAGTGGACCCTCGACTAACGCTATTAATCCGTTCCTGAGAGCTCATTGTTAGTCAGAATAATCATTAGTCAAGTTAATTTTCCCCATAAGAAATAATGGAAATCAAATTAATCCGTGCAAGACACCCAAAAGTATTGAAAAAAAAAATTTTTAACACATGAAATATTAATTTTAATACACACAAACTGAAGAAGACATGCACAGTTACATGACACTTACCTTTATTGAAGATCTGGTGATGATTGATGGGATGGGAAGAGGGGAGTGTGTTGATGGTCTTAGTGTTTAGAAGGGGAATCCCCTTCCATTAGGACTTGAGGTGGCAAGTCCTTTTTCGGGGTTACTTCCCTTCTTCTTTTAATGCCACTAGGACCAGCTTAAGAGTCACTGGACCTCTGTCGCACAACATATCTGCCCATAGAGGCCTGTACCTCCCGTTCCTTTATGACATTCCTAAAGTGTTTCACAACATTGTCAGTGTCACCATTAAACACTTGTTCAGGTTTCAGTCCTTCACTGTCTATGTACTCCTTGAATTTCTGCACATATTTTTCAGCTGCTTTTTGGTCCAAACTGGCAGCCTCACCATGCCTTATCACACTATGTATGCCACTACGATTCTTAAATCTCTCAAACCAACCTTTGCTGGCCTTAAATTCACTCACATCACCACTAGTTGCTGGCATTTTTCTAATTAAATCGTCATGCAACTTCCTAGCCTTTTCACATATGATCGCTTGAGAGATGCTATCTCCTGCTATCTGTTTTTCGTTTATCCATACCAATAACAGTCTCTCAGCATCTTCTATCACTTGCGATCTCAGTTTCGAAAACATAGTTGCACCTTTGGCAAGAACAGCTTCCTTGATTGCCGTTTTCTTGGCCACAATAGTAGCGATGGTTGATTGGGGTTTTGTGTACAGCCTGGCCAGCTCGGAGACATGCACTCCACTTTCATACTTAGCAATGATCTCTTTCTTCATATCCATAGTAATTCTCACCCTTTTTGCTGTAGGGTTGGCACTAGAAGCTTTCTTGGGGCCCATGGTGACTTATTTTGCAGGTCCAATCACTAAAGAGGCTGTGATAATATGAAATGTTCCGATTGTATGCTTGGAAGCGACCGCGGTGGCTGGCTGGCTTGTAAACACTGGCCAGAAGTGGACGCGTCTCAGACGGAACGAATAGTGTTGGTCGAGTTTTTTAGCACTAATCGAGGCAAAATTTTTGCGATAAAATGTATCGCTAGTCAGATTTATCGTCAATCAATGCCATCGCTGGTCGAGGGTCCACTGTAATCCCTGTTCGTTCCAGGAGGTGGAGGCTAACAAGGGTACACTCTTGACAGGTTTCTGGTTGCCCATGTTTTTGTCTTCCAAGGCGGCTTGGTGGATGTGAGGTTGCCATCGTGGATTGCTGGTTTACTGGCAAGAAGGGTAAGGTAGGTGGCTGTTACCTTGCAGCATTGACACCACTTGTTGCAACAAGGGTACTCTTGGACATGAAGGGGGAATGTAAGGTCTCTTTGTTTCTTCTTGGAGTTGCCCCTCTTTCCTCCCTCCTTTTTTTTTTTTTTTAACGAAAAACTTAATTCATGGATAGTCTGATTCATAAATTGCCTCTTCCCTGGTCCCTTTCCCTAGGCAACACCCTTACCTGATCCTGACCTGCCTCATGGACCTTCCTTCAAACCCAGTACCACTTTTGGGTAAAAACTCGCTACCCGACTCTAGTACTGATGTTCCAGCTGATCCTTTCAATACCTTTGATCTTCAGTATACCTTGATTATGTACCTGGCTTCTCCACATGATGGTGCATCATTTTTAGTCGTATCACACATCACCAGACAGATTATTGAAACTTTGAAGCCAAATGGAAAAGGCTTTCTCAAGTTATTGCACAGAAACCAAAATTAGGAATAGTTTATATAAAACTGACTAGAAGGCACATGCATTTGCTAATATTAGAAGCATGGTTTTGTTTATAATTGAAAATGTGAAGCTGATTGGATGAGGCATTACATTAAATACAACAACCTTAAAAAGATAATATAGATTTGGCCACTTCAAGATAGTTTCAGAGAGACATGTAATAAGGAACACACTTATACACAGGTGATAAAGAACACAATACAGTACATAGGTGATAAAGAACACAATACAGTACATAGGTGATAAAGAACACAATACAGTACATAGGTGATAAAGAACACAATATATAAGTGATAGTATACAGGTGATAAAGAATGCATTGCAGTACATGAGTGATAAAGAACAATGCAGTACACAGGTGATAAAGAACACAATACAGTACATAGGTGATAAAAGAGCACAATGCAGTACACAGGTGATAAAGAACACAATTCTGTACATAGATGATAACAATACAGTGAAACCTCGGTTTTTGTTTGCCTGGTTTTCATCAAATTTGGTTTTCGACGACTTTTTTTGTCAAAATTTTGTCCCAGTTTTCGTTCATCACCTCGGTTTCTGTCCGCTGTACCAAACGTGTCTGCCTGCCCGCTCCCACACAAAGCATCCCATGCACACATTCTGAGTCCGTCTGGCTTTGTTTCTTGTCGAGTGAACATTACCCTGAGCTTTCATACGAAACATTTCGTAATAATCCATTGTTTTATTGTGCTTGTTTATTGAGTGCAACTGCTAAATAAGCCACCATGGGGCCAAAGAAAGTCGTTTGATAAAAAAAGGCGAGAAATTGTGGCTAGAATGTGTCCAAGAGAAGGATTTTGAAGGGTTTGAGGCTGACCCTGACAACCCTATGCTTGTTTTGGAATCTATTGTGGCTTTGGGGAAGTTCATGGGGTTGGATGTAAGTGGCCAGGATGTGGAAGAGCTGCTGGATGACCACAGCGATGAGCTAACCACTGAAGAGCTGCAACGCCTTCAACTGGAGCAGCAACAGATCACAGCCGAGAAAATTGATTCAGAGGAGGGGGAAGAGAGAGGGGAGAATGTGCCTTCTTCAGTGATTAAGGACGTGTGCAAAATGGAGTGAATTGCAAAGTTTTGTGGAAAAATATCACCCTAACAAAGCTGTTGCAAGCCGTGTCTACAACATGTTTAATGACAATGCTTTGTCCCATTTTAGGCAAGTCTTAAAGAGATACCAGAAACAGACCTCTCTGGACAGATTTTTTTGTGTGACAGGGGTCCAGTGACCACAAAGGGAAGTAACCCCAGATAGGGACTTGATATCTGAAGTCCTTATAAGGAAGGGGATTCCCCTTCCAAACAATAACCTCTCCTCCCTCTCCCCTCCTCACCATCTTCCATATGCCAACTAGAGTCTTCAATTAGGGTAAAAGTTGTATTAAATGCTCCTTTATCCATTTCATTAGCCCTATTTATTTCTCACTGTTTTCTGTATGTAAAACTATAGTTATTCTCTATAAAATGTATTTTTTGTTAATACTTTTAGGTGTCTGGAACAGATTAATTGGATTTACATTTTTTCTCTTGGGAAATATTGCTTCAGTTTTTGTCGAATTCGGTTTTTGTCAGACTTTCTGGAACGAATTAAAGACAAAAACCGAGGTTCCAGTGTATGTAAGTGATAGTACACAGGTAATAAAGAACACAATATAGTACATAGGTGATAACACAATGCAGTACACAGGTGATAAAGAACACAATGCAGTACATAGGTGATAACACAATGCAGTACACAGGTGATAAAGAACAGAATGCAGTACATAGGTGATAACACAATACAATACAATTTTTATTTCTTTGCAAGTTTACATTGAGATTATGTAGTTACAATAATGAGCTGCAATGCAAAGCGATTAGATTAGATTTTGCCACCAAAGTGGCTAGTTTATTGTGCACCCCCCCCCCTCAAGGTAGGTTCCTTGATGCTGGTGAGGGGCTCTTGATCTAGGGAACTGGATCTGTGCTGCAGTTCCCTGAGTTAAACCTGAATACCTTCCATCCATCCCCCAAGCACTGTATAATCCTATGGGTTTAGTGCTTCCCCCTTGATTATAATAATAATATTGTGCACCCCTTATCCATCCTGTGGACAGTAGCACAAGAGCATATGGATACACAAAAGGCCTAGGAACTAGGCCCCAAAGGGATTTATATCTACATATCTATTCAAATTCAAAGTTTATTCTCTATAAGGATTACAATGCTGAGTTTACAGAAATTTGGTTATTGTTTGGTTTACATGTAGTAAAATTGTGATTACAGAGTGTACCACTAGAACGCTTAGCATGACTAGGCATTTCGGGCATACTTAGTTTTATTCTTAATTGTAAAATATTACAAATTATGAGGTAAGTTGGTATTATGGCTAAGTGACTAAATACTAGTTTGTGAGTTTAGCAATGTGAATGCTTTTGTTTTGGCACAGTATATAGTTTCAGTATTGGAGTATCACAGGATTCATTATTTTAAGACTGAGATTAATATTTCTGTTTATGGTCAAATGAGTGAGCGAGTGTAAGTGTGAACCACCAGGTGGTATTCGTGTAGTTAGTTGACGGGGTGTATCAGGGAGATAAGATGTTTTCTAATGGTAGTTTTGAAGGTGATGAATGTGTCTGTTATCTGTCTCTTATCTGTTACTAAGCAAATTTAAGAAATTTGCTTAGTATATCTGGTATCTTATTTTCATAAATAAGATATCTTGACATGTCACATAGGTTATTATACTGTCTATCTCTGTAGAGAGCCACTGTCATGCCATGGCATTACGGGCAGACTAAATTAATGGCTTACAGACTACTTAATACTAGAGAAATTGGTCATAGTTTGTTTAAGTTGTACATCTGTTTTTATTTAAAGCAGACAGTAAGTTAACTCAAGTTACAATCTGGGGATATTACACTGGGACAATTTGAAGGTATTTTGTAGGTTGTGTATATCAGTAGTAAATATTAAAGTTATATTATTGGAATATAATATTGAGCATTGGTGAAAGTAGTTTACAGTATGAGAATACTACAATATAGTGTAAGGCAGTATAGTTTTGTGCAGGTATTTATACTACAATGTAGGATTGTTTTGTATGAACTTTGGGTATTTAAATTTTGAAGTGTTAAGATTTAGGTAATTGGGAGATCTTAATTTAAGTATTGAATATTTAATATTTAGTTTACGGTGAGCAGATGGTTTTTGATTAGACTTAAATTGATGTTCAGACTGGGTTACTTCAGTATTTATTGGTAATGAGTGCATAGGTGATAGAGAACATAATGCAATACAAAGGTGATAAAAAACACAATGCAGTACACAAGTGAAAAAGAACATTGTTTACATGTTAAAAGGTACACCCAGTGAGGTGTGGGTCGCATCCTGCGACAAAACTGACTTAATTTGCCCGAAATGTTCTGCATAAGTGGCTTTCTGTATAGTACTGTAGTACAGTATGTCATTGATGTCAGCTAGATCTGTATACCTTGTACATGATAGAAATATAGATTATTATTATTATACATGGCCGCGGAGGCGGCAAACTCTGGAAGTTATTCCAGGTAAACTGGTGTTTACCTGGAGAGAGTTCCGGGGGTCAACGCCCCCGCGGCCCGGTCTGTGACCAGGCCGCCTGGTGGATCAGAGCCTGATCAACCAGGCTGTTGCTGCTGGCTGCACGCAACCAACGTACGAGCCACAGCCCGGCTGATCAGGAACTGACTTTAGATGCTTGTCCAGTGCCAGCTTGAAGACTGCCAGGGGTCTGTTGGTAATCCCCCTTATGTGTGCTGGGAGGCAGTTGAACAGTCTTGGGCCCCTGACACTTATTGTATGGTCTCTTAACGTGCTAGTGACACCCCTGCTTTTCATTGGGGGGATGGTGCATCGTCTGCCAAGTCTTTTGCTTTCGTAGTGAGTGATTTTCGTGTGCAAGTTTGGTACTAGTCCCTCTAGGATTTTCCAGGTGTATATAATCATGTATCTCTCCCTCCTGCGTTCCAGGGAATACAGGTCTAGGAACCTCAAGCGCTCCCAATAATTGAGGTGTTTTATCTCCGTTATGCGTGCCGTGAAAGTTCTCTGTACATTTTCTAGGTCGGCAATTTCACCTGCCTTGAAAGGTGCTGTTAGTGTGCAGCAATATTCCAGCCTAGATAGAACAAGTGACCTGAAGAGTGTCATCATGGGCTTGGCCTCCCTAGTTTTGAAGGTTCTCATTATCCATCCTGTCATTTTTCTAGCAGATGCGATTGATACAATGTTATGGTCCTTGAAGGTGAGATCCTCCGACATGATCACTCCCAGGTCTTTGACGTTGGTGTTTCGCTCTATTTTGTGGCCAGAATTTGTTTTGTACTCTGATGAAGATTTAATTTCCTCGTGTTTACCATATCTGAGTAATTGAAATTTCTCATCGTTGAACTTCATATTGTTTTCTGCAGCCCACTGAAAGATTTGGTTGATGTCCGCCTGGAGCTTTGCAGTGTCTGCAATGGAAGACACTGTCATGCAGATTCGGGTGTCATCTGCAAAGGAAGACACGGTGCTGTGGCTGACATCCTTGTCTATGTCGGATATGAGAATGAGGAACAAGATGGGAGCGAGTACTGTGCCTTGTGGAACAGAGCTTTTCACCGTAGCTGCCTCGGACTTTACTCTGTTGACGACTACTCTCTGTGTTCTGTTAGTGAGGAAATTATAGATCCATCGACCGACTTTTCCTGTTATTCCTTTAGCACGCATTTTGTGCGCTATTACGCCATGGTCACACTTGTCGAAGGCTTTTGCAAAGTCTGTATATATTTACACAAATTCTAGTGTAGTGGAAACGGAAACACTAGCCGGGAAATACGAAGAAGTGAAGTGTCGTCACTAAGAAGAGAGGTGAATGGGTAAATAAGTTCATGCAGGTTACGCACAAATACAGTTACATAGATTATCATACATAGCAGCATATGTGTAGAGACCCCTCAAGGAAGGTTCCTTGATGATGGTGAGGGGCTCTTGATTTAGGGAATTGGATCTGTGCTCCAGTTCCCCGAATTAAGCCTGAATGCCTTACACATCCCCCCCAGGCGCTGTATAATCCTCCGGGTTTAGTGCTTCCCCTTGATTATAATTTATTTATTTAGAAATTTAAGCATACATACAGAGGTACAAAAAAAATACAGGTAAGAGCAGCATGCCAAAGCCACTTATATGCATAGCATTACGGGCTGGCTTAAAATTAACTTAAGATTAACTAAGAAATGATGAAATCAGTGATAAGACATTATTGTAAACAGATAACTATAAAGCACAAATGAGTATTACAAAGACAGCTCATATGGTTGCATGCATTGCTGTTCATTGAGTAGAATGGAGTATTCTGTTTGGTAGTGTATTTAAAAAAAATAACAAAGTTAGATTGGGTCCTAGGTTTAACATTAATGTGTAGAGAACCTAGGAGTGAGGTGAGTATGAGGAGTGCAAGTAACATCATTAAGAGTGAGATGAGTGTGATCAAGTGACGCCACTAAGAAGAGAGAGAACAAGTGACGAAGAATAGTGAAGTGAGAACAAGTGACGTCACTAAGAGAACAAAAGACGTCACTAAGAACAAGTGACGTCACTAAGAGTGAGAACAAGTGACGTCACTAACACATGATAATGAGTCACCGTTGTTGCCACTGTCCTTGAATTTCCCGGCATGGCAGTGCTCGCTAACACTCACCATCTTCAAGCCGCTTTCTACCTGGTTTAAACATAAACTGTATTAAATTTCAGTAAAATTAAGTAGCACATAATATTGTTCATGCAATGATGAAGCGTATTGACTCCTATCAACAGGAGGATAGAATAAAATATAATTTAAGACGGTAAGATTTAGTGTTGGCTGTAGCCAAGGTCCCGTATAATGACGTCACAGATATTTTCACATGAGGATGGCTCTTGATAAACAAAAGTTGAGGATCATAGCACTGCTGGGTGTCCTCGCTACTTTACACCTCACTTCAGTATTTACTAGACCCAAGAAAGGTTAGCTCTTGCGTCTAATAACTCAGTAGGTTGGAGAGAGTGTAGTGTAGGTGGTAAAATGTGTTGGCAGGAGCGAGAAATGTAAATAAGAGGTGTGGTAGAAAGATTGGGGGGGAGGGAGGGGCTGGTATCAGTGTGTGATATATCTATTTCACCACTCTTGTGTCATATGAATGCCCTTGTTATTGACGGTGACTAACAGTAGGAAAGAAACGACGTCTATGGTTGTTAGGTTGTTGAAGTGTATGAAGTCTGGTTCAGCGAGTGTTCGTGTTCAGGACTTGTGTAGCGGCTGACTACGCCTACTTGCTGTCTACAAACAAGAGTTAAGTTTTATTCAGGTCAGTAAGTTTATTTAGGTATAGGTACAAATAAGTAGAATTATCATACATAGTGTAAATTACCTAGGATAACCCAATAATGTTAGTGATTTGCATAAAGGACCCCAATGAAAATAATTCACTGACTTATTTTGGTTATCCTAGGTTCCCTACATATATGCTGCTATGTATGATAATCTATGTATGTAACTGTATTTGTGTATGCCTGAATAAACTAACTAACTTATCCATTGGGGTCCTATATTCTGGAAATTTGCAAGTGGTTTTCACAGACGGTGTTATAAATTTGTAGAATGTTCTGATTAGGTGCTTTATTAGCTTATCATAGGTTAAATTCTATTTCGTTTACTTTATAAAATCCCTATGTACATGCATAAGAGGAGTGCAAAGCACCTAGGAGTTACATAATGCATGTGAAATGGGGCACTTGACAAGTTTCATAATTTGGGATTTTGTTATTCTTGAGCACCTATTCTTTTAATTAATTTTTGGGCACTCCTATCAATCCACTTTTTTTTTTGTAAGTTTATTCAAATATACACAGATAGTTACATTATTATACATCATTATGTATAATAATTGTACTTGCATGTACCTGTACCTAAATAAACTTACTGAAGTTTATGTTCAAGAATGACAATATGATGATAAGGATCATTAGCTTTGGAAAAGATGTGCTTTCAATTGAGACTTGACAGCATAAAAAGATTTCTGACTTAACAGGAAGGAATGGGAGGCTAGGCTCCATTTGGCATGTCTCTATTAAATTTACTTATCAAAATAAAGCTTCTTTCCTATATGTTTATAACTATCTCCATTGCACATCCCACTTAATAAAGAATTTGGCAACATAATAATTGGTATTCTTATTTTGGCTCTTATCACCTAAAACAATTTTCACAAGTTAGCTAATTTTTCTCCTTGGAAGAGATAACTTGGTTGTTAACATAAAATATTAACGGATTTCTGTCCGGGGAAGGGGGGGGGGTTATAATGACTCCTGACTGTCCTGGATTGCATCTGGAAAAGGATCAAAGGCCTCCAATGGTACCAGTGGTTATGTTGGATTATACTGGGCTAATACTCTAAATAAAATATTCATCATCCACCTAGAACATCATTAAAGCCAGACTAAGTTTTCTTTCCTTTAAAATCTTCTTAATTTTGTATCATCTTTAGAAACATGTATGCCATCTTTATCACTACAGATTATACAGTTTGTAAAACTTGGAAAATTGCTAGCTTTAACTAATTATATACAGTACACATGTTTGGTCAATACCTCAATTCTAACTACAGGCACAGCATTGGGACATCATGGGGACATGATCTACATCATGCAAGAATTATTGAAGTTTTCCATTGTTCTGGCAATATCTGGTAGAAAAGTTGGGGATCTCAGATTTTAATTATTTTTAATTATTTTCTTTTTAAAGATTACCTTGAACTGCTTGTCATAAGAATTATTTTGTAGGATAAGATGTTGAGGATTTTTTTTTAACATGAAAACAATATTTTCTTTACAGGTCATAATGAGTCTGTACCCGTCATTGGAGGATATGAAGGTGGACCAGATGGGAAGAGTAAGTAATTTTTTAAGGCTAATTAATTACTTTTGAAACTGGTCAATCTAGTGCAGTAGGACCCTGCTTTACGGCAATTTGCTAATATGGACATTTCAAATTATAACCAAAAATTTGTTTATACGGCTTCCTGATTTGCTCTTACGTCTGCGTGTAAGGTCCACATCTCTCGATTATGTCTGGAAACTTTCCAAAATTTCAAATGTTGTAAAGTTGTTGTATATTTTATATATACTCTGATAACTGTACTTGTGTGTGCTTGTACCTAAATAGACTTACACACTATGCTGGTGTGCAGGTACACATTGAAATTACTAGGGTGTCTCACAAGTGTTGAAGATGCTTTAAGCTTATTAAATACAGGTCTCCCTCAACATTAGCGAGGGTTAGAAGACCAAGAACCTCGCGAATGTTTGGTGCCCCAATATATTGTAGGGAAATATACAATACTGCTTCCTTAACCTATTGAACCAAGAACAGTCATAAAACACACAAAAACATCATAACGTATTCTGCTAGTGCCACCCTATGGTAAAGAAGGTGAGAAAAACTACAAAATTCAAAAAAGAACTCGTAGCATAGTACCAAAGTGGAGAAGGAAGAGAGGGGGAGAATGTGCCTTTAGTGATTCTGCGATATGTACGATACTAAAGCAGCAGGAGTTGATAAAGGCTATTGTGCCAGCCAGCAATAAAGTGTAGCATTAACAGTGTAGCAAGTAAGTTAAGTGATTAATCGATAGAAAAAGGACAGCACGAACCTAACTCCTCCAATGTTGTTGGAGTTGTATAGGGTGACTGACAACACCGCCGTCTCTTGTCTCTACTGCCTCCACCACCACTATGTAAGGCCCTTATACACCCAACAACACCAACACAGCAACACTCATGACATACTTAACCCTTAAACTGCCCAAACTTAGATCTACGTTTTTTCAGCATTTGAAAGTAGTATGTAAAAAAACGTAATTTTTTTTTTTACACTTGAAAGCGTGTAAAAAAAACTGATATTCATTTTTTTTTATATTTGAAAATATGTAAAAAAAAGTAGATCTACTTTTGGAGCACTACACATGTGAACGTAGATCTGTAATTGGACAGTTTAAGGGTTAATGACGTATTTTATTCATTTTAGAGTATACATGTATGTTTCTATGTTATTGATATTGTTTGTTATGTCATATTAGATGAATTGTGATAGATAAATAAGCCGTAGAGTTGATATTAGTCCTTCAATATGACACTATCTTGTCCTATCCCCAAACAAACTCTGCCACTGCCACAATTCCTAACATAATGACATATTTAAAATATGATTGGGTGGCTGGGAATTCATGAATGCTCGAATCCCGCGAAAGTGGAAAACACGAATGTTGAGGGAGACCTGTAATAATAATTGCTCTGGGGTGCTTTAACTGTCGTATATTATGCTGTTATACATTTTTGCTCATCGTCTGACTTGTTTTTTTATTTACATAAGAAATATGCTACATATATAAACAAAATATATGCACTCATAGTAAAAAATAAAAAACATAATTATGAGGTATGGTAACTGGGTGAACTACCACACCTAAGTTCCTACAATAAATACAGTGGAACCTCTGCTTGCGAGAGCATCCCTGTGCAAGTTTTTCCAAATACATGTATATATAATAATACATGTATAATAATGTACTATATAATAATTATAATAGACGGCTTCAAAAAGCCGTCACTAGATGGCAGTGTTTACCACCACAAAGTGGGAGCAGTTGTGGCCGCCTCCACCTGTCACATAATGACATATTTTATTCATTCTAGAGTATTTATCAGATTTCTGTCTTATTTATATTGTTAATGTCATATAGATGAATTGTGATATATAAATAAGCTGTAGAATTGATATTAGGGGAATTATTGAAGCACAGAATTCCACTGGAACGGATTAATGGCATTTCAGTTAACTTAAATGAGGAAAATTGACTCTGCAAACGAGCAAATCCAGATGTGTGCAAGGTCATGGAATGGATTAAACTCGTGTGGAGGTTCCACGTGCAAGGTCATGGAATGGATTAAATTCATGTGGAGGTTCCACTGTACAACTAACCTCTCACCCTACATTAAGACCACAAATATTTTAAGGTAAGTAATGAGTGTACTGTATGTGCATTTTACTTTTTTATTGTTTTTCATGGCTAGTTCTATTGCTAACTTAATAAATGATAGTGTAAACATGTTATCAGGCATTTTTATGCATTTAAAAGTGAAATAGTGATATGCTTTACAACAGTATCCTGGAATCTAGCCTGCCGTATAAGCAGGGCCCTCCTCTATCAACTAAAATTACTAAACATTTAACCCTTTCAGGGTCCAAGGCCCAAATCTGGAGTCACGCACCAGTGTCCAAGAATTTAAAAAAAAAAAATTGTTATTTTTTCTTATGAAATCGTAGAGAATCTTTTTTGTGAAGGTAATAAAACAAAAAGTATGAAATTTGGTGGAAAATTGACGAAATTATGCTCTCGCGAATTTTGATGTGTCAGCAATGTTTATGAATCGGCGATTTTGCCGACTTTGACTCCCATTTTAGGCCAATTACATTATTCCAATCAACCAAATTCTTAGCTATTTCACTAGTATTACTTCTATTCTATCGATTGAGCACAAGAAATCATCAAGTCAACTGTTTCAACTACAAAATAAAGTGATCGGAAATTGTTAATTTGGCCAATTTAACACAAAGTTCAAAATATTCCAATTTCAAAATAGGGTCCAGAATAAACAATGTAGGCATTCCTGGCACTAAACTAACATTTCCTCTGTTCATTAGTTATGTTTTGAGGCTTTACAAATAAATTCCATTTTGATTTTTTATTCACGTAATGAATTTTTATTCACACCAAAAAATAGAAGATTTACTGTTATGCAATACTGTAATAATTGTATAAATATCATCACCATATTTGTGAATGTATATTAGACCCACCAGCTAACGTGTATTAGACGTGTGAGGTCGTTTGTTTACTCTTGAATATCGGCAAAAATTTAACATTTCCACTATTTTGAGCTCAGTTTCAAGCCATTTCCAGTGCTAAAACCAATGAAAATCATCTCTATTTCTGTAATATGTCTTCCATTCTATCAAATGAGACCAAGAAATCGCAAATACAACTATAAAAAACATACGAAAAACACTGCAAAGTTGCTGTTTTAATCAAAAAATCATGATTTCAGTTTTTTTCTCTCATTATACACAGTGTGCTGCAGGATCTGTTTTATGTGGTGCACACATACCACATAGATGTATTCTCTCATATCTAGGCCCAAATGTACCACTCACAGTTTATCAGAGTGAGCTGAGCTCATGGCGTAGATCTACGGTTTGGACACTCACCGTAAAGCCGTAGATCTACGGGACGGACCCTGAAAGGGTTAAAGAAGTACAGTGGTCCCTCGTTTTTCGTAGTTAATCCGTTCCTGGAGTTGCTACTATTATCGAAATCTACGATTTGCGAATTAATTTTCTCCATAAGAAATAATGTAAATACAATTAATCCGTTCCTGACACCCAGAAGTATTAAAACAAAAAATTTTTTTAAATGAAATATAGATGTAGTACATAAACAATACAATAGGAAATGATGAATGAAACATTAACAGCATAACACTTACCTTTATTGGAGATTCTTCTTAGTGTATGGGAGACTGGAGGAGGAGAGAGATTGGATTGTTTACAGTTTGGAAGGGGAATCCCCTTCCAACAACACCTCAGGTACCAATTGCTTTTCTGGGGTTGCTTCTCTTCTCTGTTTCTTAATGCCACTAGGACCACCTTGAGAGTCACTCTAGTCCTGTCTCGCAAAATAACTGTGGAGAGAGCTCTGTTTCTGGCATCTAACACTTCCCTAAAATGGCCCAAGACTTTGTCACTGTACATATTTCTCACCTTCTTTACCACAGGCTTGGCACTAGAGCTTTCTTTGGAGCCATGGTAGCTTATTTAGTACTTGCAAGCACTAAAATGAGTGGAATATTATGAAATATTTCGTAGGAGCACTTGAGGGGACCTTCGCTCACTGGTAAACAATACCAGACTGGCTGGGTAGGGAGGCCGCCCCGGCTCACACCGTGCGTACGCATCCTGGACGAACTACTATTCGCGAGTCAACCTATGATTAGCGAGCCCATGTTTATAGTAAAAACATCCCTATGATTTCCAAAATCTATGATTCCCGAAAACTACGAAAAGCGAGGGACCACTGTGGTCCCTCGTTTTTCGTAATTAATCAGTTCCTGGAGGTGCTACTATTATAGAAATCTACAATTTTCGAATCAATTTTCCCCATAAGAAATAATGTAAATACAATTAATCCGTTCCTGACACCCAGAAGTATCAACAATAATTTTTTTTACCTTAAAGATAGATTTACATGCACAAAAGAATGAACATTCAACATGACAATTACCTTTATTGAAGGCTGTTGTTGATGAATGGAAGACAGGGAGGAGGAGAAAGGGAAGAGAGGTTATTGTTTGGAAGGGGAATCCCCCTCCATAAGGAGGATAGGTAGGATAAATACATGAGTGAGAGGGGTTGGATTTGAGTGGGACTTGCATATCAGAGAACATAACATAAGAAAGGAGGAACACTGCAGCAGGCTTGTTGGCCCATACTAGGCAGGTCCTTTACAATCCATCCCACTAACAAAACATTTGCCCAACCCAATTTTCAATGCTACCCAAGAAATAAGCTCTGATAACTCATATATTTATCCAACCTAAATTTGAAACTACCCAAAGTCCTAGCCTCAATAACATAAGAACCAGTATTACAACTACTATTACAACTTCTTTTTTTTTTTTTTTTTTATCATCACACTGGCCGATTCCCACCAAGGCAGGGTGGACCGAAAAAGAAAAACTTTCACCATCATTCCTCCATCACTGTCTTGCCAGAAGGGTGCTTTACACTACAGCTTTTAAACTGCAACATTAACACCCCTCCTTCAGAGTGCAGGC